CAGGTTGCCCAGAGAAGCTGTGGATGCCCCATCCCTGGAGGTGTTCAAGGCCAGGCTGGATGGGGCCCTGGGCAGCCTGCTCCAGGGGTTGGCAACCCTGCCCACAGCAGGGGGGTTGAAACTAGATGATCTTTAAGGTCCTTTTCAACCCAGGCCATTCTATGATTCTATGAAAATCTTTCATTGTTTATTATTCTCAATCATTTTGAATCAAATAATCCTAATTTAAAATATTTTTCCTAAAGACCAGTAGCACTATTGAGCCTACTTGGGGTAAAGCTGCTTTGTGTGTAAGAACAGGGCTGCACAAAGGGCACTTGCTTCTATTCAGATTTGCTTCTATTCAGATTTCCCACCCATCAAAATGCCAGAAAAAGAAATAAACTTCAACAGTTGATCAACATTTTATTTAACAAAAAGATCAGTTATCCAACAGTAAATGGTATCAAACTAAAAAAAAAATTTCACCGCATTTTTTATAACAACTGTATTAAAACCCAATACAAAATGTTTTCATCCAATTGAAAAAAATGTTTTTAAAAAGAGCATCTCAGGGAGCTTAAAACCCACATGTACAGATCAAGAAAAGCAAGAAAGGAGACACAAAGCATATAATGGAAACACAACTCCCCTTCTACTTGTCTCTGACAGTGTCACACTATACATATTTGTGCTCTTTACATGTCGTGTACTGAGGGGGGAATCATACGGCCTCCCAGAAAAATACGTCTGTGTAGTGTATTTTCTATTAAACAGCTTGCTGTATTTCTAGATCTAATGGGTGACTGTCTCAAGAGTTCCTATCATCTGAACAGCACTCCCAGGCCCAGTTTCGTACTGAGGGACAGGCCAGAACGTTTGCAGGCATGAACTGCCGGGTCTATTTCTTGATTCTATCACTGTCTTTTTGTTTGTTCGCCATGCCAGACTGCTCTGCTGTGTAAGCTCTAAGTACTTACTCCTCAGTCTAACAATTCCCAAAATAGGAGGCAGAAGCCCAACACAAAATTAATTGTATCCAGCATTTATGACAGTATTTGGACCCCTAATACTAATACTTAAGGTCTAAAAAAGCTATAAATAAGGTCGCAACTAGAAAGGTTTGGGAATCGCTGATCAGGACACTGTTTCAACAGGCCAGGAAGAAGAGTCAAGGTTATTAATTAAACACAATACAGATGGTAGCAAACTTTTATTTTGTAAGGTAAAAACCCAACACGTACACAGTTACAATTCTAGCCTGTTTAGTTTAATTCACAGCTTATGGAAATTTTTGCAAGGGCATGGCTATCATTTGCATGTTCTGCAACTTACAGACGGGAGGTCCTGCTGGGAAATGTCATACAATTTTGTCCAAATACTGGAAAGCGTGCTCACGCCTTCTGAAAGGAACTAGTCTCAGTGTCTGATAATTTTTACAGGTTACTTTAATGGGGATTATCTTCTGGTTCTCCTGCAGAAATATTTTGGATAAAGAAGGTTTTCTAAAACTCTTTTAAAAGCACTCGGTAAGTTTTCTCCCTACCATCCATCCATCCATCCAAGTGACTGTTCAATGACATCTTCTAATCTTTAGCATAAAAAGAGACCACATGGTCCACGACACCACCTACGGCAGTACACTCTTTATCCATTTATACATCCATCTTGAGGCACTTAACACTTTTTTTAAATATACCCAACAATTCCAACTGCAAATCTCTTCCTACGTTAACAGCCTGCCAGCGTGCAGGCACAGGCTACCCAGCTGAGTGCTCACCTTTCAGAAACATGCTTCCCAAAACCTCTTCCAGTACACGCGTTCCAACAGCAGATCAGCTTAGGACTCTTCTTTTTTTCTTAGCTTTACAGTTCATCGTGCTCCTCTTTAGCCTCCTGGTCTTTCAACTTGAATTCTTCAGCGGTAACTTTACTATTTCCATCCCGGTCTTGATTGGTGAACATATTTTTAACAATCTTTTCAAAATCAAAACCAGGAGCTAGTTTTCCTTTACCAGAATCGACTTGAGCTCGAATGTACTCTGAAAACTAGGTGGAGGGAAAGAAGGAGAAAGCAGCTCACAATGAATCAGGCATTTAAAACTGAAGAATATTTACAAAAGTAGCATTTATTTGTGGCTGACTATTTAGCATTTTACAGCTTATTATTAAGTGTATGTACAAGTACACTGTTACTACACTATAAAGCTTGCAACCTAAATTGGACTAATTAGGACAGACTCATGAGGTTAAAAATAGGAATAAATAAAGGTTGCAAGGTTACAAGGTTACTTTCCCCTAAAAATCCTTTTCCTTATACATATGATGAAGTTATTACAGGTGATTAGAGGACAACTGACAGAAGTCACACTGCTGGGTTGCCAAAACCAGAAACTCCACAACTAAACACAATTTCTCCAAATATTATTATCTCCGGTGCTACCTGTTAAATAAGCTTCAGCAATGAGAGCTATTCCTGACATTCATTTACAAGCATCCTCTCCTACGTCCCCAGCTTCTCCTTCTCCTCCTTGCTAGGTGACCCGAAGGATCAACAGTCACATATCAGCAGTCACATCCCACCTCACTCACCCTCTGGACTGATAAAAGCTCTTCTCTTCTCTGCAAGGACAGAAGTGGAGGTAAACATAAGAAAGAAGATGGAGAAAGAAGGAAAACAAAGAAGTGGAAGAGAGTGTTAGGAAGAGGGCAAACAAGACTGGAATTTTACCCGATTTGTTTGTTAAAGTGCTGAAACGCATCTCATGCTATTCCGTAGGTCCACAGCCCGCACCCTCAGAGCTGCAGGCAGCACTGCTCCAGCAAGGAAGGACAGAAAACAGAATGATAGAGAAAGACAACAAAGACGACTGAAGTAGAGAATAAAAAACAGAACTCCTCAGTTAAGAGAAAATGCAGAAGAAGAAAATGCAGGATGTGTTCACCCAGCACACAATTCACCCGGGGAAGGGCAGCTGCAGGCGCTGCCATGCTCTAAAAGTCATTACACAGTTCCTGGGTGTCCTGCTGCAGGCTCAGCTTTGGCTCAAGGATTCACCATAAACCTCCAATTAACACTGTGAAGGCCGATACTGCAAAGGATCGCTGAATACTAACTCTGCCTCTGACAAGGAGACCACAATAGTAAATGGTCTGAAGTAGTACGGCCATTCATATATTTCTTTTTTCCTTTTGGTTCTATCTCTAAAGCCAAACAATCATGTTTTAACTGACACGCTGCCTTCCTGTGCACTTGACAACAAACACTAGGTGAGAAGTCCCCATTCTTCAACATCCAAGTACCTTGATGATGGCGGTGAAAGAAAACCACTGCAAGTGTTTTCGTTGCCTCAGCTTACCTCCTCCAAAAGAACCTCTCCATCGTGATTCTGGTCTATTTCTTCAAAAAGATTGGGAGAGACTTCCCCATTCCATACAAACATGTACCCTTCAGGCAAGCCAGACACCAGTTCCAGAAGTTCGATGTCAAAAACTAACACAGCACTACCAGGCACTTCTCCTTCTGTCACAACAAAGGGCAAAGAGGAGTGTTTATCATCACTTACATTAAGGAGTGATTTCCTTTTAACCCATAATTAAATTTCTCTTCCTGCTCCAACAGGTTCTCTACTGTGATTCTCAAGCCCCACAACCCCAAGCCCACCAAATCTTCCTGTTCACTTCAGCAGAGGTGATCAAAACATAAAGGAAGCTTTCATAATAAAACTGCATCCTTTTTTTTTTACTGATAAAGGTGAAACGGCAGAAATTAATCATTTTTTCTTCTATCTCACCGATACACTGTGTATCAAGCTGCTACTGACAGACTCAACAGCATTGCAACAGCTTGGGATAGCACCTCCATGAAACCATAGAAGGAGTTTAATTTCTCCTTGGAAAGGAAAATTGAGGTCACCTCTAACTTCTGTCCAGTAGCAAACAAGCAATCTCTTCAGATATCTGGGTATATATGAAAACACTAACAATCATGCAATGTTTCAGACTGTGTGTATTGAACGTAACTTGCACGATGGCAAATACCTATGACAGGTATGTTTAGAACATTAACACAGAAGATTTTTTTTTATTTTATGAGGAAATTTTTTATTTATTATATATAACTATGAAACTATATATAATAGTATAAAATGTTATGTATTTGTACTACTCATAATTTTTCATTCCTAATTTTTGTGGAAGCCAGGTGCAAGTGAAAATGCTTCTTTATCTCTTATCTCAGTTCTCCATTAAGCTTGACACGTGATGCTTGACAGTCTTTATAAAACACAAACTGATCTGGAGGTACACAAAGAACACAGCAACTTCCACAACCGTTGCCATATAAACCAGGGTTTGTTGATCTTGGCGATCTACTGATAGACTCCTTTCCCCCAATTTTAATTCGGAAGACCAGTAACAACCACACACACTGGAATAGGAGAGTTCTTGTCAGTTCTGTGTTGTTCCTTTTAATATTGTTGTCCCTGACATTAAAATTGATAAGCCTCAATGCTTATCAAACAGAGCAAACTGCCTTAAATGTGTTATTGCGGGGGTTTCAACAGCACTTACACACCGTTTCACACCTTACATTCAGTTTATGCAGTTTCTGAATTTTGAGTTTTCTTTGAATTTGCTAACACATTGGTGCTGAGCAGTCCCCTGCAGCTTTGTTTCCTGAATAACATCACGTGTCCCAGCATGCATACCTGACTCCCTATCACAGCAACAGTGTCTACATCCCTCTGCAACACCAGAGTGCCCAGAGTGTTCTGTTTTCACACAGCAACGTTACTGGGTGGCGTGTGTTCCCTTTTATACTGGGATGGTCTTTATATTGGCCACAGCAACAGTATGACTTAAAATACAATGCAGACAGTATATTCATTTCATTGGGGAATCAGGGGCTGTCTGAAATAATGAAATGAAAAATGTCTAAAAACATCCCATTCAAGCAGCTAAGAGATACCTCATGTCCTAATGCAAGTAGCAAAACACACATGCTTGTGTTTCAGTTACTCAAGAGATGCTAAGTGGATGTGCACTTACCAACTCCTTCTTCTCCATAACCAAGATGCGGTGGAATAACAACTCTTCGTCGTTCCCCGACACACATGTCTTGAAGACCCATGTCCATCCCCACCACTACCTGTCCAGATCCCAGAACTATGTTGTAGGTCTTGCCAAGGCTGTGCCTGGAGAGGAAAGGGAAGAAAAATTAAAGAAACATCACCATACAATAGAGAATTTCTGTTGTTCAAAATTACCACTGAAATAGCAGTTTCCACTTAAGCGTCCTGTCATTGCCAAAAATTACCTTCATGCTCTGTTTTACCAAGCAGTTACCTGGAGCTGTTTTCAAGGTAGCAAGATACAGCCAACACCAAACAGAAGTGTCCCTACTGTGACAAGTCCTCTGGCACTAGAATTATAGACTTCTTGATTGAAACCTAATTATAATCATTAATCCTGCCAATTAAACCCCCAAAGTATTTTATCTCGAAGTAAGGGCTTTTTTGCCTTTCACATGTTTTTAGGTCATGAAGTTGGACTTCTCAGCAGCTGTAAAAATTCCAGATGTACATTTGTCCCAGAACTACCAACCTCTAAGGATCTGGGTGCACTCACAGGGATCAGCCATCCCTTTAATGAAATCAGTCACTAGAATGTAGTGGTCACTCAACCGAGACAGCTTGGAAGCATACTACTTCTGCTGGTATTTAACCATATTATATCTTGAATTATACCTTGCTGCTGGTGGCTCATTTCTAACATTAGAAACTATCATGAGTTAAAACGCCAGAAGTTAAGCACGTATTGCGATTACAAAAGCAGAACATGCAGTGTTAAGACTTTTCACCTAGTACATGTCACAACAGCAGAACCCTTCCTTCTGTCAGTCTCCCTTCTTTGGTTATTTGGCTTGGCTGTACTGTGGGAGAACATGCTTGTACAACAGAGTATTATGCGGAAAGGGAACAATTTAGTGGCTAAAAGGTCAGCCTGAAAATTAAGGAGCACAAGATTCATGATCTTTTGATTCTCTATAAACTGCTTAAAGTAGGACTGTCTCAACATCCCTTGGTTCCTGCTACAAAACGGGAACTGAGAATCCCTGCCATACAAAACATGTTTTTGAAGCCGAATACATTACTTGCATACATATTTGCCTACAGCATCACATCATGTGCTCCAGTGTAAGCCAGCTTTTCAGCTCCACAAGCTATTGCATACACCAGGAAAACTATGAGCTGCTTCCTGTGTTAATTACACCCTGTTTAAAAATAGCTTCTCCCAACTTTCCAAAAATAAAATATTGTTTAGATGACTTGCACTATCCAAAGGATGAAGGCAGAAAAAAAGCTAGCAGAAGTATTCTTGTAGCTGCAGCAGAGTGCTATGGGATTATTTTTGTTCTGTATGAGACAGATGGGAGCAACATCTGCTTCCCTCATAACCCTACTGTCAACAGGAAGGAGGAAGAGGACCATTATAATCACAGTTACGATCAAGCCCTCTGATAGTTTCTCCATGCTGACACTTACCACAACACTGCAACGCAGGAAAACTAGCACCCATGTGTGGTACAGACATGACAGGGATCATTTATGATAAAACACCTTTCCTATAAAACACCATTTACTAAAAATCAAGCTAGCTTTAGCAAGAATACACCAAGTATCTCTACCAGATCTCTCAGGAACACCGAGCCATCACAGAGTGCAAATCCTACCCCAGAACAGCCTTGGACAGTTCGTTTATGCCGAACCCTGTGTCGTTCTAGTACGACTGGCCCAGACACCTGGACTGTCAACCCACTTCAACAGATGGCCGTGGAGACAACCTGTTTCATCAAGCCACCTGTAGTGGTTCTGTTCTTCTACATCCTCTTTGTTCACAGTTCTCTCATTATGCCATGATAGATTGTCTTCTTTTCCTCCTCCTATATATATCTAAGGCATGCAGACATAACAACAAAAATACATTCTACATAAATGCTCAATTTTTCACTTAAAAATTCCTTATTCCTCACCAGCCCACTTTACAGGCAATTCATTCTGCTTTCACAGCTGCTAGGGACATTTTCTTTATCAGGTGCCATACTTACGTTGAGTCTAGCAAAGTGCCATCCAGGAGCGAAGCATTGTAGTGATACTTCAAGTAATCTCCCTTCTTACTCAGCACAGTGCAGTTGGAAGGTTTGTAGTTAACAGTAATGCTGACCGAATCGGAGGGGTTATGGAAGTCAACCACGTGGATGTCAAAGACCAGCACGGCAGATCCTGGAATCTTTCCTGAATAGGAAGCAAATTAGGCAATTAGAGAAAGAAATGGTACCCAATTTCCATCATTCCATATCCTGTGACCATCTTATATGACTGACTTGTGTTCCATGTACCAACTAATTATTGATCATCAAAATTCTCATAGGACTTCTCATGCTTCAAGGAATGACATTATGTCTAAAAGATTACATTTCCTTAAAATGTCCTGACAGCAAGCAAATTCTTCTGTCCCCCCTCCCCCCCTTCAAGGAACACACGCAATCGCATTACCAGGACTGACAGATATATCTAGACCCAGGAGTGCCTTTTGTTGTTAGAGGAGTCTAATTCTCAAATCAACAGCACAGAATTTGCAATCCCAGAAGAGAGGCTTTTCTTCTAAGTCAGTTTTTCCAAATAACGTCCCATGAGGTACCTTTTGAAACATCAGCCATAAAACTGTGACCAGCTAGAAGGGTTATCGTATTCAACCTCCCACAGCAATCTTTGTAGGCAGTAGTAAGTTTTCCCAAAAGAATTTTAACTATATCTTATACATACACAGATGTTTTACTGTTACATGCATCCACTGTTTACAGAGGAGGCTAAGGAGTGGATGTGGCAGGAATGGGGAAGAAAACATAACACGATGAATTCCTTTAGCCTACAGAGCTTGTTAAGACACACAGGAAGGAAGATCTCATGCTGCAGAGCTCCTGGCATCCAAGTACCAGCCTGTCTGAAACACTGATTATCCAAATGAGTCCAGGTCATCAAGTACCAGTCTGCCTGAAACACTAATTATGCAAATAATTTCAGGTCACCAATTACCTGAGAGACTTACTGTCCTGCCTCCTTAGCTAATTAAAATAATTTTGCAAATTCTGGGTGTAATCCTGTCAGTTGCATGCCCACAAAATAATGAATGAATTCATGAGCCTTTCAAATGCAAAAAAAAATTGAACTACACACAGATACACTAAACAAGAAAGGAAACATTAATTAAAGAAGACTTGAATAAAAAGTCAAGCTCACCTCTTCCTTCTTCTCCATATCCAAGATGAGGAGGGATTATTATTCTTCTTTTTTCACCAGTGCATACACCTAGCAAACCTTCATCCATCCCAGCAATCACATAACCTTTCCCGATATAGGTGTCATACGTACGATTTCGTGAATAGCTATGGAAAATATTTGCATTTTATCAGTGTCAGGCGTACTCGAGAAAACACAGAATCTTGCAACAGGGCAGCAACACAATCCTTAAACCAATTAAAGTCGAGCATGTGGTCATTAACTAGCACCAGAGGGGCACAATGCAATCACCACATTCAGGGACTCTAGGCCACCAAGTTTCATCAGTCAGCAATGTGTGCGTAATTAACCAGTACTGGAACCCTGGCTAGGGAACAGCTTCTTTGCAAATACATTTCTACTATCTCTTGAAAGAAAATCTCAACTTTTTTAAAATTTTTATTTTATTTATTTATCTTTAGACTAAACAGAAAACATGTTTTGATAAGTAACTGAAAAAAAAATCAGTTTTCACCTTTAAATTTTTTCTCTGCCCCAATTCTAGTTCAGTAAGTGTTTATCAACTAGAGAATAGTTTACGTTTATTTTCATGAGCCACCCTTCAGACTATCCCATTTTGCAACTACAGCTATGTAGTTCAACTGCCACAAGCAGGAGGTGGGATAAATAAATTCTTGGATGCACAGCATTAAAATGACTCATGACAACAAAAAAGGATCAGTACTATCCCTCCCTTCCAAACTATGCCAATCACTTATACGTAGGTTGAAGGATCTGCTTCAATACCTAATGACAGAATAAAACAAGCCTACAACAACAAATGATGTTTATCAAAGGGATGTGTCTGTCTTCTGCCTTTCTGCAAAGCATGCTACATGAAGGCACAACCCAAGGAAGGGAAGGCAGAAAGGTTTTAATTCATCTTAAGGAAGTAACTCTGGGCAAGAACAAGACCAGTACAGAGCATGGTGTAATTCTGAGGGTTATTCAACTGCTCTAAACCCAGACAGGCCTGGCTGAGCTGCCCAGGGGCAGTTCTGTAAGTGAATATTGCAGAGGGAAAAAAATGAAGGAAAACATTATTAGAGCTCTTGACCCCATCCACTCACAGTGCTTTTAGCATGCTCCCAGTACAAGTGAGGAATTTTTTCACAGCCAACTCCAAGGCTTCCAATAACTATCGTTAGCTGCTCTATTTCCTCACAGATACTTGTTAGATATTGGCCTTTCTTGTAAATTCTGCAGGAAGCCAGGATACGACACACTCATGAATAAGCCCTCTAACAACTGTCAGCGCTTTAGTATGATTTAAAGGCTGCTGTCTGCAAAGTATTTGTTACTATTTATTGACAACAACCCTAATAGAAATACTACAGCCCTTTTCAAAAACAGTTTTAATTACTACAGACAATGCTCATTCCAGCCTCAAAAAAGAGATTCCAGGTAGATGCACTCTGGATAAGCTTTAAGTTCCTAACTTAAAAGTGTTCATGAGCTGTAAATTAACATCTACAATGATGGCTGCTGATACAGGTCTCCTGCTTTCTGTCCTCCCACCCAGCTGGGCAGCTGAATGGGGAGGTCAAGGCTGGTTCTGAACCTTACCACACCTCAATCCATTGTATGAGATACAATTCCCTGACTCCTCCTCATGGGAAGTAGCACACATGGAATGTTACACAGCTTATGTTTGCAAACTGATCCTGATCTTCGGCTTGCAGCAGCTGTAGTAGCACTAAACATTATTTCACGAGTTTATTTCACAAAACATTTTACAGTGGCTCATTTTCAGCTCCTTGTGCCAGCTGTTCTGAAAGCTGGAGTGGGAAAGTAAAGTACTGCTTATTGAAGGGCAAACAAAAGTGACAGAAAGCTACAAGGGTATTATTCATCATATAATTCTGTACATGAGGCTCATGTGCCCAGAGAGCTTTCAATCTGACATGACAGCAATCCCTCTTCCTTTATCACAGAAAACCTTCTGCTGAATTCAGTCTTGAAAGACATCAGCCTCCACAATGCAGTTTACAAGTACAAATGGAAAGACTGTCTTGAGATTAACCTCAAACAAGCCACTAGCACACTGGCTCACAATTCTCAGGACATAAAATGGGAATCATATTTATTTTCTCCCTCTTCAGTAGTATTACCTATTTAGCAGATAAACTCTAAGGGGCAGAGAGTCTCCAAGCCTGTGTTGCTGAAGCATACACGGCTTCACCGGGTGGATCGCCACCCCTAGATGGCGTCTGCGACCCTGTCATAACCCAAAATAGGTGCTTGTCTTTGTTCCCATACGTTTTCTATGAGTTTTTGAAGAGAGGACTCCAACTCCACTCAAACATTTCAAAAAGGAAGGAAAAGCAAAGAATTGTATTCGGGACTATTATGGAAAAGACGAAGGAGTCAAACTGGAAATGGGATCTGAACTGTTTGGGTACCTGGAATCAAACAATGTGCCATCCAAAAGTGTGCCGTTGTAATGGTACCGGAGAAAGTCTCCTGTCTGGCTTCTCCGCTCGCAAGATTCAGGCACATGCTGGTTCTCAATAGTAATACCATCTTTGGGGTTATGGAGATCTAGCAAAACCACATCAAAGACGAGGGAAGCTTGACCAGGGATGTCCTTACCTACAGAAGTGTTAGAGCAGAAAATTGTTAAGAAATAGCAGGTGTTTTAGAAGGAGCTCAAACATGCCTGTTGAAGAAAAGTAACCATCTGCCAAATATCAGGCACCTTCCCTCCCAAAACAAATTAGCATAATCTGCTTCTAGTCAGTCATTTTTGTTCCATACGTGGGTTTGTCACTTAATTCTCCAACTCAGTTGCAAAAAAACACCAACAAAATTGGAACTAAAAATACATTTTTCTTTTTCAAAGTTTTTTTCTCTCTGTGGCGGTCACTGAAAGAATTATGCAGTCACCTGACTTCCAGTTTTTGGAGCCACTAGATATTAATCACAGATTATATTCTCTGAATGAAATAAAATTTCAGTATACAAAGATTACAATTGTATTATCAATATGTCTGCTAAGCAACTTACTGTTTAATTTTTTTAAAAAATCTTATACTTGTTAATCAGTCCAATCCTGTACATAATACATTTTGAAACTCTCCATCACTTTGTTCCATCTGAAATGGGTAATAATGCTGCCCATGAATTTAAAATACACAAAGGTTGTTTTAAAATATGGATGACTTGTCTTTAAAAAAAAAAAACAAACAAACAAAAAAAAACACCAAACTTTTACCATCTCCTTCTTCTCCATATGCCAGGAAAGGTGGTATTGTGATAATGCGCTTCTCTCCTACGCACATTCCCAAGAGACCCTGGTCCATACCAGGAATCAGCCATCCAATTCCCACATAGGTGTCGTAAGTTCGCATCCGATTATGGCTAAGAATTAAAAAAAAATAATTAAAAAAAAAACCCACAACCAAATGCCAGACAGCCACAGGAAAGAACAATACTAATTCTCAAGAGCCACATGCTATGCACAGTATAACTCACAACTTGCTGCTTAAAAAGTACTGCTCCTTGATTTACCGAGGCCTGGCCGAGTAGTGTTGTCCAGAGGGCTTAGCTACTTCAGGAACCAAACAGGTTTTGAGAACTGGCTCGCAAGCATAAGCTGTTATTAAAGCATAATTTTCCACCAAATTTTAATAAAGCACACACGCTGTAAATTTAAAATCTCAGTGTGGGAGTGTTAGCAGCTCAAATTCATTATGCATTCTGCTTAGTTTATAAAGTTTGTATCTAACTTGAAGAGTTACAAATAGTCATATAGATACAGGGAATGGAATTTAAAACCAAAAAAAAAAGGGGGATGGATCTGGGCTGGTAATGCCCATGCAGAAATAATGTACTGTTGTATTGGTTTGAGTCAGTACTGCTGTCCCATAATCCCTGAATAAATTACTGACTGTGACACGATGCTAGCTTTCATTTCTTATGTTTCCGGGCAATTGGCATTAATTGTTATACCACTGAAGGGGGAGTAAGTGATGGTTTTAAGTGACATCGGATACCTACTGAAATACACAAAGACACACATCCCAGCTGCATACCTTGAATCAAACAGGGTCCCATCTAAGAACGTTCCATTGTAATGGTATCGTACAAAGTCAGACACCTGGACTGTCCGAGGACACTTCTCAGGTTTGAAGTAAGTCTGAACCTGCACTTCGTCCTCTGAATTCCAAAGGTCAACGAGGAGCACATCAAAATGGAGCACAGAGTTGGGGGGTATCACACCAGCTGCAAAAGCAAAACAACACAACCAGTTTTATTTCCCTTTTTCTACAGAGCATCAGCGAAAAGGGGACCAATCCACGCATTTCCTAAAAAAAACACATAAGGGACACCTTAATCCTTGTTATGCTTAATATCCCCCTAGCCCCTTGTCACTCTTGGAGCTACTTAGGAATGCCAAAACACCATAACTATTGAACAGCAAGGAAGGTACAAACAGCTAACTTTAGCAGCAAGGTTCCTTTGCGGAAGGTCAGTGGCTCTTCCTTCCACATGCAGAGGGAGCCTGGAGAGATTAGCCAGGCTACAGGCTTAACAAACACCCCTGAGCAGGGAAGAACCTCTGTGAAAATTAACTGCTTGTAATTTCTACCCTTTTCTTCTGTGATCCCATTTTCTATCTGCTCTGCTGAATCACTTGCACAACCAGCTATTCGCTGGCCAGGTGCCGTACTTACAGACGCCTTCACTTCCATAGGCAAGCTTGGGGGGAATTTTCACGAACCGCCGCTCGTTCACGCACATGCCGACCAGAGCTTTGTCCATCCCAGCAATAAGCTGACCTTTTCCCACAAATACGTTGAATGTGGATCCCCTGTCATAGCTAAAGGGAGAAAAGCAGGCAAAAATGTTAGGGGTTCATTTACCCTCCAGTCCACTATTTTTTTGAGAGTTTAAACGTTACCTCATCTTAGCATAACTTTGTCCTGAGACAGCTGCTAAGAGAAGAAGGGGCAAACCCAAATGATTCTGAGACTAGAACCCAGCTCTCCTTCTGTTCACTGCTCATCCTCTATAGCAGCAAGCACTGTATACCTGAAGCCCATAACTACAAAGGGCTAATTTACACAGTTACAATAAGGAGCACTGGAAAATTATAGATGAGAAAGAAAAATTAAACATTATTACAAGATATGAAAGGATGACTGCTCCCGCAGCAGGATCTCAGCGTATTGATTTTGGTGAGTAACACCACAAAAATATTATACGAGATCAATAAGCTTTATGATGTGAGACATCATGGTTGGGGATTCTCTGGGGGAAAAGAAGAAAGGGAAAATACTTTTTGAGTAACAGCTGTGAGATTTGCCAATTGGTTATATACTTCCTCCAGCTGGTTACTTGTTTTCTTCCCCACGATTCACAGCTCTCCGGTCATTTAGATCTAAATAGCAAAAAATAGAGATGTACCTTAAACAGCAAGTTTGCCAGATCAAGAATAGCTAGCTAAATGATCGTCCACTGTGATAATACACATACATTTGAAAGGTAAAAGAAATTGTACTTAAATGATAATAAAGTTTTCCACAGAGAGCAGCAGTGTTACCAGAGCAGAACACTAACATTAGCTTACCGGGGTACTTTGACCACCTCAAACCCACACAATGACCCCACTCTGCTGTGCCTGAATTACTGCTGTTATTTAAATTTTTTTAAGTGATGTATAAACATATGGCAGGAAGCATTTGAAAAGCTTCCGTGCCCATTTTTAAGCTTCTCAAATTCCTTTTATAATTTAAAGGACTATTTTTTTTCCCCAGATAAAAGGCACCACTGGAAAAAAATAATTAAAAAAAAAAGAAAAAAAAGGCTTGTGCCTCTTTGCCTGCTAAAATATTCTGGAAAGTAGCCAGTAGTTAGATATCGCTAGGGAAATGATGTCAAACTTTCCTTCAAAGCCTAAGCACATCACTTCCACAACACTGAACCTCCTAATGGTCCCAGAGCCTTGAATCCCTCAAATATTTTACTGAGTGATCTCTCTGTTTGCTTCATCTTTTTTTTTTTCTGGCAAACATTTCCCCTGAAATAGACAACCCTCTACACAGAGCATTCACTTTCTGTTGCACAAATATTCCTACTCCCAGGCAAGGATGGAAAAAATTTAAATTAGCTCCTGACAAATTCCACTATACACACACAAACCCATAATTAAGATGTTAAAACTAATAACATAATAGGTTCTAAGAAACCCCAATAAGTGGTATTTTGTAGCGACTGACATAGCTTGGCAATGCATCTAGGATGGACTTAAAACAGAAGAGCTTTTTTTTGCCAAAAATAAACCTACAATTAAGAAAACACTGATGCTAAGCAGAGAACTGAACAAAGCTGTGAACAGATCATGCAGCTTCGCAGGACTGACTTGGCTGATTCCTTAAAACTAAGCAAAATTAGTTTGTATTAGAGGAATTTACCGGATTCACAGCAGATCACTAGGTAATTACATTCAGACTTAAAAATGCAAATCATTTTATGGCTACGGAAAAAAAAAATGGAAACACTGATGGAGAAAAAAATAAACATTAGTTAATTTATGTGATGCAGCCATGATCACTGAGACTGTCAGCAGCCTGTTAACAAGAAGAGCTGTATTACTACTGTCTACTTGGACATAATACAGAAAAATAACTCTAAACCTCAAGAACATTTTCAGCAGGCGAAGAAGTAACAAAGTAAAACTGCCCTTAGTTCAACACCCAAAGTATTTTCTAGATGGATTGCATAGCACTGTTTGAGTAAACTGGTAAACACTTTAATAAACTTAAAAAAAAATTAAAAAAAGGTAGCAACACTGACAGGTAGAAAAATGGGCTAATAGGCTAATTTCATATAAATTTACTGAATATCTTTAACTTGTATGCAAAGAACACTAAAGATTTTATGACAAACACTCCACAATATTTCTTCCATTAACCTACAGAACATAAAAACCTCCTGATTTTCCATTGTCTTAACATGATAGACCACTCTTAAAAAAAGACCATAGTTAGCAAATAACAAAAACGGATGTTAAGGTGAGCTGCCACCCAGAAAAAAATCACAAGCTGAATAAACCTTTTTGCACACTTTTGAAATGAAGACAGCCACACAATACTCAAGTTAGATTAGACTATCATAGAATCACAGAATCATCATCGTTATTATTTAATTACTGATATTTAGAGGACTCAAAGAGGTAAACACTGTGCAGTTCTGCACAGCCTGTTCCTGCCCCACATAATTCAGAGTCAAATGACGAGGAAATTGGAATTAAACCAGAGCCAACACATGGGAAGCCCCTCCAGGTGCCCTGCCCCAGTGCAGAAATTTGCAAGTACAACTGGGCATACAAGTAAGCTCCTGTATGTATCTGTAGAAATCAGAAACACATTTCTGACCACATGGCTGGTTTTCCAATTGTCACATATTTGTAAAATGAGCAGTGAGGATGCTGCCTTGCTTTGTGTGTCTTCACATCTGCAACTAAGAATTATTTTCCAAGGCTGTCAGTTGCCAATGAATTCACTGTCCTTGCTGGACTTTTTCACTGAAAACCGCACCAATGCCAGCTGAACCTCCAGCTACCACATCCCACACTTTATCCAAAGTGCTGCTGAAGCTGCACTACCAGTTCTCTGAAGCACAGTCAGCTCCAGAGGAAGAGCTGAGCTCACTTTGAAAGACAGTTCTTTCCCTCAGGCTGTAGATTTTCTTTGGAGCACAAGGAAGATTACCAGGCTTACTGAAAATACATTTTGCTTTTTCTTTCCGAGTAATACTTTGATCAGTGGCAATGAATGAAGCAAGAAAAAACAAATAAGTTGTCAGCAGCATCAGCATCCTTCCCAATCTCCTGATCCCACTATTTAGGCTTCCTGATCCCAAAACAACAGCAGGAAAGCGGCCAGACGCTCCACTGCACAGAGGTTACATTTATTCAAGGGTAACTGATCCAAAAATTTATATGTTAGCACAGCCTGATAATTCTTATATTTCTGGTAAAGATAACAATTCAGAAATATCTGCTTTCAAGTAAGTTTGAGCCTGGAGAAGACACAGGAAATGTACAGAAAGAAATCGGCAGGAAATCACTAAATACTGTGGGAGATTGCAATAACCATATTCTGCTCCTGTTCACCAGGCTAACCGAATATCCTTACGGTCGTCTTCTCTCTTGGAGCAGAAAGCTCCTGGTCAGTGCCTGGGAAAAGCAGCTGGAAGAACGCAGTGGGGATCCATCAGAGCATGCAAACTTCTGCAAACTGGACCTTGACACCGCAGAGGTCTTGTCCCCATCCCCAGCAGTCACACCCCAGCCCTTGGCCCTTTCATGTTTGAAAGACAGCATCCCATGGTGGCCTGTACATCCCGCGGTCTCACCCGTGCTGCACTGCCCACCTCGCCACTAGCCCACTTCCAACTGGTCACCCCATAAGTTTTACTATACACGCTGGATTTTTGCTACACTGGACAACTCTATGTCTTGCTCCTCTTCTCTGTTTTATTTTTATGTTAGCATCACCTACTGCCTTGTGTTCCAAATTCTCCTTAAGGTTTTAAACACATAAGTTACTGAAATCAAAATATCAGAAATATTATGAAGGAATATTAAAAACCTCTGTGATTTACAAGCCTACATATACACATAGGACATTTCTGTGCTATGTGAAAAAGACAGGATTATCCTTAGAAGCAATAATTCTAACCACTTACAAAAAAGTTACTCTTTTTTTTGAAAATAAAAGCTCCTCAGGAGAATCAGAGGCAAAATAACTGAGCTGAAATCCCGGACACATTATATTTTATTTCAGCCCAGGATGGGAAATTTGTAACTGGCTTTAAAAAGTTTGTTGTCCCACTGAACAAACAAACACAACTACACATAGAATTGTTCATAGAAATGTGATTACTAATGAGGAGAGCAGCAGGACCTGAACTGAACCTCAACCGCGGCCACCATCCAGTGCCACCATCTCCGAACGCCCACCACCACACCCTGGTGGGGACAGCTGCCCACAGAGCCCCCTCACACGAACCGAACCCCGCGGGGGGCTGCAGCAAGCCGAGCCCCGGGGCGGTGGCAGGCCAGACCTGGAGTCGAAGCGGGTCCCGTCGGGGAAGGCTCCCAGGTAGTGGTAGCGCACGAAGTCCCCGGGCCGCACGGCCCGCGGGCAGCTCTCGGGCACGAAGCGCTTCTCCACGCGGATATCGTCGCCATCCCAGGGGGGCTCGGCTGCG